CTCTGTGGTAAATAAGTACATATTAAACTTTTTAAGAAAAAACAAAATTCTTCTTATAACATATTTTTTTTATAACATACGTATTGATTACTTTTCAACATATATCCCTTATTTATTTCATAAACATGTAATCTTTTAATACTTTCTTGTAACTTCCTCGCAATGTTTGATTGTTAATTGTAATTTAAAATTATATAATACAGTGTTGATTGAGGAGGGATCGCGACGCAGGGAATACTTGAACTGTTCCTTGTCGAATCAAGCACGAGGAAGATGAACGTGCCGGTGGTAGAAGCACCATCTGTGGTCGGCGATAGCGTATCGTTAAAGCGATTTCCCAATACTTCCCTTCGATACGCGATCGAACCAAAAGAGATACTATTACTCATGTTTCGCCGAGGCCGATCAGACTCCGGCACTTGTCGTGCTTAAATCTCGGTAAACCTTTCGTTAGGACGTCTGCAGCCATTTCTTCCGTTGAGACGTGACGCAGCTGAAAGGATTCGTTATTTATAGTTTCACGAACAAAATGGTATGTCGATATGCTTTGTTCTAGCGTGAAAGATCGGATTCTCAGCTAGTTTCAGTGCTCCTTGATTGTCACTGAAAACGATGACCTCTGGCGGGTCCTCTGAATTGAGAAATTTCAGTAGTCCTTTTAAATGAATGGCCTCTTTAAAGGCTTCGGTGAGAGTCATATATTCGGCTTCTGTCGAGGATAAAGCCACTGTCCTTTGCTTCCTCGATTCCCAGAATACAGCACCTCCGTTGTATTAGGTGTTGGAATTAATTCGTAGCGTTTTACAAGTGATGGGAAGTACTTTCATTAATGTATTTTTTAATGGTCATGTGAAATAAATAACATTCTTTCATTTAAAAACGCTACGAATTAATTCCAACACCTAATACATGAATATGTATCCGATGTACGACCGTCTGTCTGTGAGGCAGTTTCCCCAGTCAGAATCCGAGAAACCGATGACTGAGTTTCCGCCATATCCGTAGGTAATCCCGATGTCCGGTGTCCCTCTCAAGTAACGCAAAACGCGTTTTGCAGCGGTCCAGTGTTCTTGTCTGTAGTTGGTTAGGAACTGGCTCAGAAAACTCACGGCATGTGCAATATCGGGCCTCGTTGCAGTGGCCAAATACATCAAAGCACCCACCAATTCACGGTAGGGCAACTCGGCATACTTCTTCTCCATGGCGCCCTCAGGGCGGGTCAGTTTAACCCCAATGTCCATAGGCGTTGACACAGATTTCGTGTCGGCCATCCCGAATTTTTTCAGAACGTCTAAGATGTAACCCTTCTGGCGAATCGAGATACCTCCGTTATCTCGATTGAACTCCAGTCCTATGCAGTACCCAATCTCACCTTGATCCTTGATGTCGAACTTCTGAGCAAAGAATTGTTTGAGGTTACGGATCTCCTTGATGCTGTCGGAGGCGATCACGATGTCGTCGACATATACGGCAATTAAAAGTGTGATTCCCCCTCGATTTACTCGGAATATGCAAGGATCGGCTTCGGTAGGAATGCCTCCTCCTTGATGCGTACTCCTTGATGGCTTCACTAATTTTATTGTTCCAGCTTCGTGCAGCTTGGCGCAGGCCGTAAAGGGATTTCCTTAGGCGGCACACCATGTCGCCAGTCCTGATCTGGTCTAGCATCTTCTTGACCTTATCCTCGATTCCTCTTGATGCCATGCCAGATTGAGCCACTCGCTGCATGGTTTCTTCCAGAAATTCCGGTAGCTCCTTGAAGATTTCTTCGTCAATGTCTCCATTCAAATAGGCCGTCGTCACATCGATCTGATGCATCGACATCTGATGTTTCGCCGCCACCGCGGTTAGAGCACGAATCGAGCTCAAACGTGCTACTGACGCAAACGTTTCGTGAAAGTCCACTTCTGGCTTTTGTATCCGCATCAGAGCAATCCATGGCCTGACGTATGGGGATCTCCACCGAGAAGGCGTGTTCCATTTCTTCGCTGGCGATGCGAGCTTCATGATACCTTTTGGGGGGTCTTCCCCTCAGTCCAGTGCACACTATGATAGGCCTGCCTCGGCCCCTTTTTGCCTGCGAGTCTCTCTGTGCAACGACGTCCCGCTCATTCGCCGCCGATTGCCTGTCTTCGAAGTTTTCCTCTGTCTCGTCTTCTGGTACGGTTTCGTTAATTATTGGTGGGGGCGTTAGCTCGATGTCCACTTCATGTGGCCCGTCTATTGGATCGTCGGCCTGCTTCTCGTTGAACGTTCCCGGCACAGATTCAATACGGGTAGAATCTTTTGCGTTATTCTCCATGAATCTGAAAACTCCGGATA